CTGGCCCCAACGGCCGCGGACTTTGTGGGGCGCAGATTCCCCCCCGTGCGCGCGCGTTCCTCGCTCCAACCTGAATTGTAAACCGCACCTTTGGGGGAAGTCTAACCTTTCCGTGGGGGAAAGCAGGTCTCGTCTGAGTTCATGTAGTCGTGCTGCTTGAGAGCCGTTGCCTCTGGGTTAGTAGCCGATCTCTGGATGCTGGTAACAGCTACTCAAGATGGCGCGGTCTCGAGGCTGAGCCGGCGCCCCGGGGGAGGTTTCAGCCTCAATCTCTAACCGTCCCCATTTTCTAGGAGTTCTCTGTCTTTCCTGGCTGCAGACTGTCTCTCAGCTGAATCTCCTCTGCTTATTCGGGCTGTATGTTACCCGTTTCAGCTGCTCGCCCTTATCTGCTCCGGGACAAAGCACCGACATGTCCGTCTAAACCTCCGCCATTTTTTCCTCTCTCTAGTATGATTATATTTAAACTAAATGCTAGCTCTTTGTTAAGGTTCTCTTCCCAGTATTTTCTCTTTCCAAGATAATCTCATATCAGGTTTTTTATGGCCCCTTCATGGGCAATGTCCTCTCCCACTGTGTCTTTTATGTACTTAGAACTCTGATTTATTTGAAATATTTTGCAGATAGAGGAGAGGGTAGTACCTTTTAGATAAAAGAAGTAGTATGTACAATGTACAGAGACATGGGATTATGATGCTAACTACTTGATTATATGTTATTTGAAAGTTCAAGTTTAAAATATTTTTTCAATTCAGAATTTGTGTGGATCAAAATAATATTCAGATAAAATAACTATTTGCTATCTACTTATTGTTATTTTTAAATTTAGAAATTAAAAGTCATTATTCTCTTGTTTCAAGATGCCTTACATGGTGAACCCTTATTTTGGTATGGATAAGTCTCTTTTTTCTCCCCTTTCACCTTATTTTTTCTTTTTGACATGAGGGCTTACTGTTTTATTTAATAAACTAGAGGCCTTGTGCACAAAAATTTGTGCACTCGGGGGGAGGGGGGTCCCTCAGCCGGGCCTGTGCCCTCTCACAGTCTGGGACCCCTCGGGGGTGACCACTTGCTGGCTTAGGCCTGCTCCCCGGGGGATTGGGCCTAAGGTGACAATCAGACATCCCTCTGGCAGCCTGGCAGCCCTCAGGGGATGTCCATTTGCCAGCGGGGAGCAGACCTAAGCTGCAGTCAGACATCCTTAG